GGCTTTGGAGGTCTTCAGAGCAGCCTATGTCACTGCTTCAAGTTCTCCATTAATAATTAATTTGTAAATAATTATTAGCATTAACAATTATGTGCTGTCAACTCAATTTCCAGGTTTTCCTAGATATAAAGTACCTAGAAGTTTTCTACCATTCCCTCCTCCTGGTGATGGTCTAGGATTGTACAACTTGTGAAAAGCTACCCAGGCTCATCTCCAGGCAGGTATAGCAAGGGACAAAATTCCCAACCCCTCACCCTCCAAGCCATGTACTCCAACTCACTGGGTTATCTAAGTTCTCGGCCATAGGTAAAATTTGCTGCTCCTTGCCAGGTGAACAGTTTGGTGGAGCTGTGAGAATCCCAATTTACAGCAGAAGCACACAACGTAGGATAACTTCCTGTTATAAATATAATATTTATACAATATAAATCAACACACACAAACACAAAACAGGCTTGGAGAACACAGCAGAGGATTGCACACAGAGAAGACAAATATTTCACCATTTTAGTCCTTCCCATGCAAGAATACATCAGTGCGAGACACTGATACATGTAACTATTTGTACATTTTCAAAGCATTTGCACCAACATGCGAGAAAGGAGAATGTTCTAGCCCTGCCATCTTTCACTGTTGCTTCCTGACTCTTTACACAAAGAAGGTAACAGCTCTGTAGGACAGTACCCCAGTATTCACAAGTGCTCTCTACATGAACTGTGTGCATTATGTGCCATCAAATCAGAATTGACTTACAAGGACCCTCAAGGAATTTCCACAGCTGAGCAGGAATTTGAACCCAGGTTTCCTGAGTCCAAAAAAGGGACGTGGTGGCACTGTGGGCTAAATCACTTTGTCCACTCACTACAGAACACTAGGTACGTGCACATAAATTACAGCCATGGAAAATCAGGATTCTAATTGATGTAGAAAGCCCCCATCAACGTAGAAGACATGAACAAAAACAAGGTTTCACAGGAGGGCACTTGGTCTTCGAGAGAATGGGGCAGATAGCAACATCAGGAGAAATGATTGAAATGCTCTGTTCAAGGCAGTGCCTCCTCTTTTTTTCCTTTGTTCAATTCTTCTCTTTGGCTTAATTAGTATTACTGAAATAGCATGGCAGTCTTCATAGCACAGAAATAACATGGAAAATAATAAAACATGCTCTACTATACAGGCCCAGTAATTTTCAAGGTTCTGAAAACATGCAGACTCATGGCACCACTACTTTCAATGCCACATCCATATGGCCACTAAAAAGCAATATAAGACTGATAGAAGTCTGCTACACTGATTTTAAAAACTTATGACCACCTAGAAACTGTTGGGAATTCAGCTCTCATCAGTCTCAGCCAGCATGGCCAATGCTCAGGAATGATCTGAGTTAGAGTTCAGAAACATCTGAAGGACCACAGATTTCCCACCCCTGCTTTACAGTAGCATTATCTTATAAAATATAACTATTTACTTTTAATTTGGTGGAGGATGGGATATTAACATGCCCAAAGTTATAAACAGCATTAGCAACTGATCATTATAGCAATATGTTGTTTCACATATAATTCTGCTCAATTCATTTGGGCATTCCACTGCTCAGCAGCATTAAAATGGATTAACTCTTCAAGAACTTTTCAGTATAATTACAGTAGCATAAGATTTTTAATCTGCCTCGCATAAAAAAGCACACAATATTTCCCCTTATTGTAATAAATTGAAATAAAATTAAAAACTGTAAAAGTTAATAGTTTAAACCTAACAATAGTCATTCTTGTTCTTCCCCCACAGATCAATTCAGTTTAATCAAGAGGCCTCCCATTTGGCACCAGTGATATGTACTGAACAGAATATTGAACCTGAATGTCAGAAACAAGTATTCAAATCTCTATCCAGCTGTAATAGTTCATCAGTTGGCCTTAGGAAAGAAAGCCCAGTCTCCCACTCTATATAAAATTGGGTCCCAGAGACTGGACTCCAGCTCCGAGAAGCCCCAACCACCCACAAAGGTTTCTGGATCTAGGAATCTAAGTTTAGGATCAACTGCCCTTATAATACTGTTACCTAAATAGTTCCCATGCAGAAGTGTGAAAGGTGAATGCAGTTGTCATAAAATGTATGCCATGTAAGTCTTGATTTTGGCAACACAATCTGAACAATTTTAGAAGTATTCTTCTCCAGTGTGAAGGAATAATGCAATTTAAAAAATGCACAAGCATAAACTCTCATACACTATTTTTTTTCTCCTCTGTCTAAATACTACTTTCCAACTTATAGTGAATTCGTTTTAACATTAATAAGACTTAGTGTTATATTGCTTTGTTAGAAAAAGGAATGAGTACAGCTTAAAATTCTTCTATGAATTTAAAATGTAAGCAATCATAGCCAAAGCAAACAGTAGTGCCATAATAATAACTTCTTCTGTATGTATTTTAAGACCAATGGACTTAAGCTTAGTTTGACAATAGAAGCAGGTCAATCTCTTTTTCCTAATTCCTACATATATATTTATGTTCCACTTCGTTCAAATGAGCAGAAAACTCAATTTATTTCGAGCTATGCTAATGTTGATAATCTAGCTGATGGGAGTACAGAAACTAAAAACCTCAGCCTGCCAAGATCCAAATTAAAGACAAGCAGAGCCTGTTAACACAGGTGCATACATTTTCTAAGTTAAATTTGCTAAGCAGCTGGCTCTATTCCATCTATGAATACTTCACATTTTAGTGACATGACTCATTTCAGTAGTAGGTTACTAGCATGAAGGCTACCTCAGGATAAAACATGGAGTATTTTGATCACACTGTTTTCCCTCAAGCCACAGCAGTCCCCAGGAAACTAAATTAAGTATTTAACAAATGAAATAAGAAAACTCAATAAATAAGGTAAAATAACCAGTAGAGAACACCTTTGTGCGAAAATCAGGTCAACAATACCTTGCTGTGAATCCAATGGAACAATTTTAGAATTTTCAACTGGCTCTATTAAACAGCCCAACTGTAGTAATTTTTTTTTAAATGATGGCATCTAACAATTTTAAGATGCATAATTCAAAAATCAGATTTTATTTTAAATACAAAAGGGTAAATCAGTAACCCCCAAACTTGGCTCCCCAGGTGTTCTTGGATTACAACTTCCAGAGATCCTGGACAGCACAGGTGGTGCTGAAGGTTCTTTTAGTCCAAGAACATTTGGGGAACCAAGGATGGGAGCCACTGGAGTAAATGCATGTAATTTAGATCAACAGGACAAACTTCTACTTTGGCAAGAAAGTGGGACTAAAGTGCGTATACATCAAAGGTATGTCTTTGTTTGTTTGGTGGAATGTGTAAAAAAAGGGGAGATCTACTGATTGCTCAAAAGCAGTTTCACTGAGCACTTGGCAGATTCTCTCAGGGAAATTTTCTGCAAAGTTATAGGTCTATGAAGTACAATGCTTGCTTTGAATCTGCTACAAAAACTCGAGAGAGGAAATATTCCTAGAAAAGAATTCATGCTAGGCTGGCTGATACCAGCTTCTTATTTACTTAAATTATAAAGATTATACTCCATTAAGTACTGGAAACTGCTCTATGATCTTCCAAAAGATTCAATACTGAATTTACAGGGAATACAACAAAGAATCGATATGGTGACCTCAACAACTCAAATATTATGACCAGGACAATTATTGCTTTTGGGATCCCCCCCCCCCTTTGCACATATGGTAATTGCAGCTAACTGAACAACCAATTTGAACCATTTTACAGTGAAACTGTTTAATATTCTACAAAGGAAGAGTACAGATTTCTTTAAAATGCATTTTGTAAGGAAAACTTCTGTTGTTTCACTGCAAGCAGGAATATGACTGATGCTTAGCTAGTGACTTATAAAAAAAGAACTGACTCATCTTCAAGATAATATTATGCTATAACCTTTACAGTAATTCTATGGAAGTACTACAATAAGAGTAACATTTCAAATGTTTTTTTCTGTTTTTCCAAGAACTGATAGATAAACCATGTCAAATACCATGGCTTAAGTTTAAAAGAAAACTGCAGTAGGCCTTGAATTAATATATTTTCTTGTTCTCGTTACAGCATAAATATGAGGCTTCTGCTTCCATTTTAGATGAATAGTTTGGCATACCATCAAAACTCTTAACATCTAATCTAAATTTGCTTGGTGGAAAAACTAATTCTGTAGAGTACTACAGTAGTTTGAAGTTGTTTCTACTAGCCTTGACTAAGTTTAAGCACAGTTTGGTTAAACATGGTTGACTATATGGCAACACAGACTAATGTAAAACAGCAAGTGAAATCTTCTAAAACTAACCCTAAAGCTAAAGTATAGCTTCCCCCTTAGTTTGGAACACTTATCTGCTACCTAACAGAAGATGCTAAATCACCCTCCGGAGAAAAACAGATTCTATGTACTCAAATGGCTGCTATCAGTAACAGTGAACAAATCTGCTATTTCCCTCCTGCTAGTACTAAGTGGTACGAAGACAGGAGGGCCTGGCGTGCTCTGGTCCATGGGGTCATGAAGAGTCACACAACTTAACCACTAAACAACAAGTACTAAGTGGCAGAAAACATCCTCCTAACCATTCATTTTTTAAAGGCCTCACAAGTACAGATGCTCAAAACATTAACAATAGCCCAAGTAAGATGTTAGAACTTTGATAATGTGGGAATCCTGTGCACACACATAGACGCACCTGCTGCTGAAAATCAACAGGGAAACAATCCACTAGAATCTATTTTCAACAAGCTTTTGTCTTGTTTACTCAAAAGGTTCTCACTGCTGAATTTTAGTTCTTCATTATACATGCAGTTACCAAACAACTTGCATGATGTTCACAGAGGAAGCTAGCAAACTAAATGCCACAACTTCCTGTATATAGAAAACAAACTAAAAAAAACCCTCCCTGTTTCTAATTAAGACTTAGTTCATATTTTACTAAGTAATCCACTATAAATGTATATTTGAAATCAGAGGAGTTAACCAAGAAAGAGCTGACACACCTTCTGAAAGAATGGCATCTTTCAAATAAAGCAGAACATCTGCAAATTTTCTGACATCATTCACCAGTTGCAAGATGTACTCTGGGTCCACAACAGTGCTGTCATAGCAGTCCGAGTTGGAGCTAATGCTGCTCAGAGAATTGCTCTTGGTGCTACGCCCCATACCCCAGGTTCCAGAATTAGAGATGTTGAAGAAATTGGAGGTAGACAGCTTGGTTAATCCTAAACCACGCTTGCTGCTGCCACCGTTCTGTCGCAACATCCCAGCCACTGCGGAACTTAGGAAATGTTCAGAGTTAACATTCAGTGTTGCTTATGGTCCATCTGCCAAGCAAAAAAGTCCTGAAGAAAGAAAAAACAAATTATGAGTCATCTACAACAGAAGTAAACATTAACTTCAGGTGTTGAAATTCAAGCACTAAGCTGTTGAATGTATGAAGCCTTTTTGATACTAACAGTGTTCATCATTTTGATACTAAGAGTGAACAGCTCAGACGCATATAACTGTTATAATTGTCAATAGTACAACTTTTGCAAATCAATTCCTTTAACATTATGCTGAATATTTATAGCCTTATGAAGTCTTTTTTTAACACTGATAGTTCCATACTTAAAAAGGGTCCTTAATTTCTATTCTTTTCTATGAGGGAAAGAAGAGTATAATGTATAATAAAATTATCAATCTGTGTCCATTTTAGAAAATAAAGTATGTTTTCATTAATCAAGCATATATTTCAAAGCATTTAATCAACAGAATAAGTCACCAATAAGCAGTTTTCTTCTAAAGATTATTCCATATGTTACACTGTAAGAGACAGATATTAAAACCCACACTATGAATTGGCTACAACTATGTAAAGCATTCCTCTCTCTTTTTCCACCTTATGCTACAGAAATACAGTGTAGAGAGGAGCAACTATCTGGGGTCATAATTCTTTGGAGAACATGAATACAGAATGCATATGCTTTGGACATTACAGGTACATTACAGTTTCAGCAGGTACACCACCACTTGATGCATATACCCAATGATATAATAAATGAAAACTTTTAACAACTTAAAATTGTGAATTTCACTTGAACAAAAGGGGAAGGAACATTTAGCCCTTCAAACAAAATCTTAATACAGGTTTCAAATTACTGATATCTATATCAGTATCAGCTTAACCCACTGTTAGAAACAACTGAAAATATATTGAGCATTTAATAAGTTCTGGCTTTTAAATGTGCTTTATTACTGAAACATGAAAGAACCTATAAACCATCCATCAGATCCGCTTTGGTTTGGATCTCTGCATTAAGCAGGGGGTTGGACTTGATGATCCTATAGGCCCCTCCAACTTGATTATTCTGTGATCCTATGAACCTCATTTGAAATTGGATTTATAAAGATACTCCTTTTGTCTTATAAACAGTAAACAAACTACGTTGAATTATCATTCTGCAACATGGGCACTTCTTGAAATAAAAAAAACTAGGCAATATGCATGAATGCAAAAGGGCTGTTAATTTTTGTGTATCACATCAACATTCCAAAAAAAGAGAGCTAAAGAATAATTAAACATGAATTCCAAGTATTTTTTAATTAATACTTGAACATACATTTCAAAAACATCCCAGGAATATTCCAGATAATAGTATGTTTCCACTCACAATTTTTACACAGTAAAAGTCACTGTAATACTTTGTTTAAAAGCAACACACATAATACTAGATACTGAAAAGTATTCACAAGTATGAAAATAAGCTGCTTCAACAAGATTACCTGGTTCACCATACCCTATGGGATGAAAAACTGCAAGAACTGCAAAGTTCCTATGTGCATCTTTACAGACAGAAATCTGTTCTGAAATCTTACCCTTCTGCTTACCCATTTCTTTTTTTTAATGTAATAACTACTAGTGAGACAAGCAAGACTTGTTACACATAGTGAACTCTTGTGGTTTTGTATGCCAAAGCCCTGACAGGTTGTAGTTAGAACACACTCATCTTAAAATATTTAAAATGCTTCCTCTTATGTTAGTAAGTTGAAACTCATACTTTCTCAAACCATTAAAAGTGACAACTATTCAGTTCACAGACAATAACTTCTTTTAGACTCTTCTTTTAATGTCACTTCTTAATATAAGTGACATTAGTATGTGCTTATTAATATATTAATAAGTACATACTAACCATATTTATTTGTTACATTTGTATCCCATTTTTTCTCCAGTGAGGTCAAGATAAGGTACACAGAAACTCCTCCTGCACACTGTATCCTCAGAACAACTTAAAGGTCAGGCTGAGAGATCATGACAATGGCCAAATGAGGATTTGAACCCTCGTCTTCCCAGCCTCAGTTCAACATTCTAATCATTACACATTCCCTTCCTACAATCATTCATTAAACATTTTAAATTACTGTACTTTAATCTGATGCATGTTTTTAATATAAAAACTTGCTCAGTGGTCAAAAGATCTCCTGTATGGAGAATTAGTATAGGGAAAGCGCCCCACAGGAAGACCACAGCTGCGATACAAGGCTATCTGCAAGTGGGATCTGAAGGCCTTAGGAATGGACCTCAACAGATGGGAAATCCTGACATCTGAGCATTCAGCCTGGAGGCAGGTGGTGCAGCACGGCCTCTCCCAATTTGAAGAGACCCTTGTCCAGCAGGCCAAGGCAAAGAGGAAGTCCCGAAAGCAGCAAGATCAGGGAGCTGGACAGGGGACAGATTGGATTTGTCTTCAGTGTGGAAGGGATTGTCACTCTCGAATTGGCCTTCTCAGCCACACTAGATTCTGTTCCAAGTCCTCCATAGAGAGCATGTTACCATAGTCTCTCGAGACTGAAGGATGCCTAAACCTGCTCAGTGGTGTTTTACCATTAACTGTGTTTTTAGGTGTGCATCTGTTTTAATTCAAATTTCAGTTATGCACTGGAAGAAAGCCTGAACATGAAACAAATCAATAATTCTGTCTATAGTAATAATTTTGAAATAGTTTGGCACATCACTTGCACTGATTATGCCAGATTTCATATATAGTTGGTTTTACTAACACAAATTTTTCCTCTTTTTCTGACACTCTCAAATTCTTCCCATATACTTTAACAGAGAAGATAAAGTACCTAGAGCAGTGTTTCCCAACCTGGGGCTCAGGACACCCAAGGGGGGTCTTGAAGTATTTTATCAGGGGGGTCATGGGTCACTTCATGTGTTGTTGCCCTTGTTAAATAATTTCTTGACATTTTAGAGCAGGACATGGGTGAGTATGTATGAGAAGCAGAGTCTTTGGAGGAAGAAACCTCTCTGAGAAAAGATGATTTTGCCCCATTAAATATGCCTTTTTATGCACAAATGGCAAGGGGGTCACAGGTTACCTGCCTATTATAAAAGGGGCTCAGTACTTGAAAAATGTCGGGAACCACTGACCTAGAGAGTAATTCTTAGGACCAAAAAAGTTTTCCCCTCAAAGGCAGACACACTTTCTAATTAATTCCAGACGATTCCTTTGCATATTCACTGGGAAGCCAGTCGACTTGGCCTCAGTGGGGCTCCCCTGTCACTTTTTACCAAACCCCTACCTACAGGGTGGCTGCCCGGTTAAAAGCAGAAGGCGGGTACTCTTCATGAGGGGCGGGGGGGGGGAGGGACTGATTTTTTTTACCCCAACGAGTACAAACCGTACATTTTAAAAAAAATAGACTATTTACAACAATGTTGTAAAAATAGGGCACCATGG